CACACACACACACACACACACACACACACACACATCTCTCTCTCTCTCTCTCTCTCTCACACACACACACACACACACACACACACACACACACACACACACACTGTTGTTTCCTGCCTCTTACCTTTGTTCTTATGGATTGAAAAAACTACATATATTTGTGCAAGTGTGCCGCTTCGGCGGCAGACAGGTGTGTGGGCACTTCCGGCTCAACCACACAAACGTGGGGAACCTTGCACCTTCTATTACAATGCTCATTTTTTTTGTTTATGGATAGTTTGTGATGGTACGAGGATGGATTAAGAGAGAGAGTTTGGGGATCTTAACAACACACACAGGCACACGCACACACGTATACACACACACAGCGAAAGTGAAAGGGAGGTTGTTTAGCGATGGAATGATAGAGATGCTGGTGATGTGACTGGGTCGTCAGTGTTGTTGTACTTGTGCAATTAATTTTGTGGCTTTGTGGACCGACTCAGAGGGCTCTCCGAGTTTTTTCAGACCAGTGGCGGATGTGGTCAGTCCTTTCTTATTGGCGGAGCCTTCTGTGTGCTGGGGCATCTAATTCTGTGTGTTCTGTGTAATTGCAGTTTGTTAAGTATGTTTACTATGTTGCCTTTTGCCCTCCATCCCTTTGTGGATTATGATATATGAAACTCCGACGAAACAGTTTGTCACAGCCCCTCGTTTGTTGTCCTCTTCTCCCTCTCTGCCTACGGTTTACCGGGCAGTTCTATTTGACGATATATATATATATATATATATCGTCAAATATATATAAACTCCGACGAAACAGTTTGTCACAGCCTATATATCGTCATGTATACACATTACATATGTAATATGAATATAATTTGTGCAAGCGTGCTGCTTTGACGACAGATGGGTGTTCAACCACACAAACGTGGCCAACCTTCCCTCTTCTACTATATTGCCTAACTATACCTTGTTTTTGTCTTATGGATGGCTTGTGATGATTTATGGATGGAATGAGAGAGAGAGAGAGTTCGCACACACGCACGCACGTGCGCGTGGAACAACAACAAGCCCTTGAAATTATCAATCGCTTAAAGGAACCTCTGTGGCACCAATGTTTTTTCTCACATTATCCATTTCAGACATGCCAAGCGGGGTTCCAAAAAAAGAGCATACGAAAGGAGGTTGGAAGTCCTGCATAATCGAAGCACGGCATAGGGGGCATAGCCTCTCTCTCTCTGTAGAGATCCAACATGCAAGGACATCTTCACAATTAGGAATGGGGGAGGGAGGGCAGGAATAGAGGCCGCAAGAGAAGTAGATGAGAAGGAACAAGGGGTATATAGTTGAGATCGTGGCAGCACAAGCAAATTGCTCTCCTGTCTTTTTTTTTTTATAAATAATTTGGACCATTTCTCGATTTATGTGTGTCACCCTTACACAGGGCCCATGCTAAATCTTCTTTGTATCATTCCAATTTTAATGGATGTCCCTGCCTCTGTCTTTTTGCTTGTTGGTGGGACGAACTTATGCTTGCCTTGTGGCTTTTCAGAGAGAGAGAGAGAGAGAGAGAGAGAGAGAGAGAGAGAGAGAGAGAGAGAGAGAGAGAGAGAGAGAGAGAGATGCAATAACGAATGCCATATGTCTCGTGGAATACCTGAGGGCCAAGAGAGAGAGAGAGAGAGAGAGAGAGAGAGATGCAATAACGCATGCCATATGTCTCGTGGAATACCTGAGGGCCAAGAGAGAGAGAGAGAGAGAGAGAGAGAGAGAGAGAGAGAGAGAGAGAGAGAGAGAGAGAGAGAGATGCAATAACGCATGCCATATGTCTCGTGGAATACCTGAGGGCCTACTTGGCCGCCCTCATCCCAGGCCAAACAGGGGGAAAAGGAACCCACACGAGGATTCAGGGCCTGGACGTGTGACCATTGACTTTTGTCAACTGCGTGATACCAACAGTCAAGTCCAAAGGTACCCAGCCCAGGCTGCCGGTCAAGCACACACACTTGTTTGTATGCAGGTACCCAGACAGCATCAGGACCAAGTGTAAGTCTGCAATTGTACACAATCGGGGCCCTCGGCTGTGAGGCAATCTGGACGACTGAGGGAACAAGACTCGAGGCCAGACAGCCTCGTCAAATGCTACTTAAGGCTGGCCTCGAGGTGGTCAAGCATTCAAGCTTGCTATGCTGCTTTGACGCTGGGTCGACTTTGACTAGACGCTGGCATTATGCTGGCTCGACGCTGGCTGTGCACTGGCGATGTGGACGACAACACGAGGTAGAGGCAGCATGCTG